TATCTTGGGCTCCCTGATGAACTGTGACCTGGGAATTGTAAGCTGAATAAACCCTTTCTTCCCCAAGTTGGTATTGGTCAGAGTGTTTTTTCACAGCAATGGAGAAACAGACTAGGACAAATACCAAACTCAATAAATTAGATCAAATGTTATCTCAAGTAGCAATATTACCTCAAATTAACCAAAAAGGAAGGAAATAAAACCAAATGCCAAACTGAAACACTGGAGCTTCATCAGCTTCAGACAGACAATGCTCATAGAGTACTACATCAATATATTTATGGAGACTGTGACCATTTTCATTCAAGCTTGAAATGTCAATGTAACTACTGTCCTCTAACAGGTTTTTCTCAAAAACATCAAATTACATCAATCATGAACCAGTTAAGATGACTATTCACCTTTATTTGCCAAGAAATCCTGAGTATTTGTGTCTGCTCCTTCACCATTTAGTATTACTCCACCTGCAGAGATGAATGATGACATAATCTGAGACTGCCAAGTATGTCTACACATTAATTACAGAGGACACAAATAAAACCACATAAAGAGTAATCATTTAAAAGGGAGCCGCTTATTTTTAAAGTTGTGGCATGACTGTCTTAATCTCTACTGCTTCAGTAGATTAATAGTATATAAATGAATTGCTAATTGTTAATTCATAAATACTGTGACAAAACTGTACTGCTCAAGTTATCTCAGTGATAAAGTTACAGGAGTTCAGAAGGCACTCAGCACATACTTGAATAAAGCACAAATAACTGTCTACAGAGTATCTGCTTTACTTAAGGACTGATAATCGTCTGAGGCAGTTTCACAGTGTTATCATAGGCTTAATGAGGGCAGAATGATTTAAAAAGACAAGAAGAAATATCTTAAAAGTAAAACTTAAGCAAATGCTATTGCTAAATCCACCCATACCAACACAGAGCCCAGAGGTCACAGCGCCTGGGCCTGGGGTAGGACTCACCTGAATTTATATGCCAACTCCACTAATAAGGAGCTGGAAAAGCTAATAAAGCTGATGGGTACCATGACACCTAACTTCTAAGAGCACTGTAGAAAGAAAGTTAACCTACTGCCTAGAAAACAAACTACTCAGTGGGTTGTAACAGTTATTTCTCTTTTATTATATATAACTATAATGTATATAACTATCTGGTAATGGCACATCTTTCCTTAATCACAGCATTAAAAAAAAACCCAGATTTTCTAAGCATGTAATTGCTATCTATCAAAGTATGAAGATACTTCACATATAAGCACAACCAACAGAAACATTTAAACCTCTGAATCTTGCTTTGTCCTTAAAAAAAAAAAATCACACACAATGACATTTACTATGGAAGTGAAAACATTCTGTAGATGTTTTCAAGACTAATGCCTAAAAATCAAGCAAACAAAAAAAACCCAAAAATATAATATTTATTACAAATATAAAGGAAACAGGAGGAATGAAGATAAATGAAACAACAGAATTCCTCTTCTTAAAAAAATCCGCTTGACGTCTCAGGAAATCTGACTAGGAAAGAAAAGAGGAACCATCGTAGCATATATAATATGGGTATTCCCTGAAAAGGGATTAATAGAGTGAAATAAATGGTGGGTTGAGAAAAGCGCACCTAGACCATGGGACTCACAAGAGGGACAGCTAGAGGCCTGGTCAGATTAGATAAACCAGAGGTCACTCAGAAACACAGAACAGTGACAGGAGGCTGGCTTGCCTTCTGCCTATTCTCCAACTTACAAAAATCTTGATAAAGTAGACCATATGGAAAAACTATAGTCACATAAATTAATTTTAAAATCAACATCTATTTGTGACTCTTGTTTGGCTGGGAAGAATGGGGTCAGATGTGACTTAGACTGTGATGTGAATATGCTGGCTAACATGTTGCAGTCAAATGCTTCAGGAAAAACATAGAGCCAAAGATAGGGATAACATAGGAGAGGTCTCCTACAGAGAGGAACCCATTTCCTTGCCTCAGTTCTTTCCTAGGAGACTAGATTCATTTCTTAAGTAGTCCAATGAGAATAGAAATAGTTCAGATGGAACTTCAATACTTCTACTTAATCAAAGTAAAAAGCAAGCAAGCTGGAATCAGATCTGTTCCCGGCCCCAGTTCTCACTTTCTTACTTTTACACAGTAATTTGTCTACATTTGCAGTGTTTAATAAAATCGAATATGAGAGATTTGAAACTGGATTAGTACTGGTATTTTTCCATAACAGTTTGTTAATGTTTCCATGTGGTATATGTGTGTATGTATGTGTGTCTGCATATGTGTGGGCATACGGTGCAGGTGTGCATGCATCTGCTTGCATGTTGAAGCCAAAAGCTGTTGTTGGGTATCTTATTTTCTGAGGCAGGTTCACCTGCTGAACCCAGAGGTCATGGATTCAGCTGGTCAAGCCAGCCAGCTTGCTCTGGGGTGTGCCCTATCTCTGCCCCCTGAGTGCTGTGGTTACAGGCGAGGCATCAGGCCTACTCATATTATGGGAGTGCTGGGGATCAAACTCTGGTCCTTGTGCAAGTGCCTTATCCACTGAACCACCTTCCCAGCCCTCCATGACAGAGTTCTATGTGCTTTTAGATGCCACTTATCTCTTTCACTTTGTATTTTTGAGATGATTTTATGCATTAATGAAAAAATATAAAAAATGAACATGAGTAGACCTGATCCTTACAGTTTGGTCGTGAAAATAAAGCACTTACCTGATTTAACTGCTGCAATGGCCTTTGCAGGGGTAGTCACCGCACTTATTAGGTTACATAGTGAAATCCCACTGTTGTTTACTTTCTGAATTTCTGATGTTTTTAAACTCCATGTTTCTTGTAATTTCTTGAAATATAAAAACACATTATTTTTCAGCTTTCTTAAAATCTTCAGAGTTGTATATCATTCTTTGACTTCTTACACATATCTTAATGCAACAATGACTGTGGGCCCAGGTGACTGTTAACACTCTTGGTGAAGGAGAGTGGGGTGAGGCCCATTCTGTGGTCTGTCCCCAGCCACAGTGGAAGCCAGGCTGCGTGCTGCCGCTACGGGACGTTCCAAAGTTACTGTAAGTCTGTAGGACTATGCTAGGTGCAGCCATGTTGTAAGATACGTAACCAGGACAATAAAAATAGACACATGGGCACAAAGAATTCCAGTTCAAGGTCAGTTTTAATTATCAAAATTTCAATGACTTTTTAAAGCTATAAGATTTTTCTATATGAAGAAAGTCTGTTATAATTAGCCATAATTTTTATGACCTAAGTCAGATGACAAAATACTTATGTTCAATTTATATAAGAGATTCAAGTAACTTCTATTTTCCAATACTGGTTAAGGCGATATATGCAAGTGGAATAAAACTTTAAAGTGAAGAAAAGTGTCTTTTACATACTACTTGGAGGAAAGGTATTAAAAAAAGAATAGAAACTAAATGGAGATTTGGTAAGGATGGAAACTTGGATATTAGGGACATTAACAATTCATCAAGACATCTTTTTTATAAAGCAAATTAATGAAAATATGATGTCCTTCTTCCATGCACTGATTTCCATAGGTCACCAAAACCTACGGGGCATACATGAGACCCAGCTCACACAAGGTCATTACAAACACAGGCAAACAGAAATCAGTATTAGGCACAATGAACCACCTTTGTTTCCTCTAGACATTTTCCTAAGTCTTCTACACCAAAGGAAGGCTGTACAATGGGAACTCGCTCTGTTGTTTCTTTTATCCATGACTTCAACGATTTAGCAAGGACTTGGAAAGCTTCCAGCTGTTCTTGACAAGAAGTTACTGCTTCTTTTCTAATGAACAAAAATCATATCACCATTTAAGCTATAAAACAAGATGTTCTAGAAGACCAATTATTAACAAGCAATTATTATTCCCAAATTTGGCTTAATATTAATAAACATCTTTGATGTGCAGTGCAACTCTCTGATACCCAGCCTAAAGGGTTTTCTGAGAGGCAAATGAAATCAGCTAAGTATTCATGGATTCCTCAAGCAAAGATCATAGATAAAGACGGGAAACAGTCCTGAACTCTGTATCCCACACGACAGTACTATTTAATGCTACATAAACTCTTAAGAGTATATAAACAGTTGTAATATTATTTGGATTCAATGAACTTTGATCTGTCCATTTTATATAGTGCTTAAGGTCATCAAGCAAAGAATCAGATAAGAAACATTCACATTACCAACATGAGGACAACATAATGCTATCTACACGACAGTTACATTAATGTATGAATAAACTGAATGCTTTAGAGATGGGATTTCAGCTTCTCCAAAGAGATGAAACCTAGTGACTGGAGAGCTTTAACAGGTGCATCTCCCCAGAAACTCAGGAAGGTCCATGGTGAACTGTGGAGGTTTCTGTATGCCTAACACATAAACTATGAGGTTTGTTATACTTGACATGTGGAAGACATGTACACACATGTGAGTGTGGAATGCTAGAGATAAGAAGGTACTTCAGCTAGACCAATGACTGTATGCATTTAAAGTTTCAGTAAACAGCCTAGTGATTACCTAAGTAATTCCTTTTGGAGTTAGAGTAAACAACCTAGATTACCTAAGAAAGTCAAGAACATGCTTTCTGTGCAATATGGATTAAATATATGGCATGATGGGAAGAATAGTTTTAAGAGCAACCAAAACAGAGCCTAGATGTTTTAGAAAGAGAATTCTAAAGAAGTAAGAAAAGTAGACAATAGAGAAATGACTATTGTTTTATCTTTTGGGGGCTCTTCCATATAAACTTCATCAAAATCAGATATATATTCTAAGGATGAGATTAGAATGCAAAGGCTCAGTCACAGGGCTTATCCCCACACAGAATTACAGGTCAAGTTTGGCTCACTGTCTTGTTTCTTCATGGATTCATGGTTCGTTTACTCTTTACAAAAGTAAACTGTAATATGAAAAGCCACCAAGAACTGTATTGAAATTATGTATTGCGTCTGAATTGAGCCTAGAAAGCAAAGACCCACACACTACTTTTGAAGGTTATTTCTGTCTCTGCAAATAGGAAGGTGATATTTGCCAAAGAAATCAGAGAATACAGTGAGTTTCAATCATTTTCAAAGATGCATCACCACCACCAATGTGTTACATAGTGCTTTCCACTTTACCCAAGAAACAATCCATTTCCCTCCAAAAAAATAGCTTCATTTTTCTGGGGAAGATTTTGCTTGTTAGAGATGGTCTCACTATAGCTCAGGCTAGCCTTAAGTTCTCTGTGATCCTCCTCAGCATCCTCAGTCTATTTAATTTTTATAAAGTAAAAAATTATCATGGTGGCGCACGCCTTTAATCCCAGCACCTGGGAGGCAGACGTAGGCAGATCTCTGTGAGTTCCAGGTCAGCTTGGTTTACATAGCGAGTTCCAGGCCAGCTGGAGCTATAGAGAGACCCTGTCTCAAAAAGACCAAAAAAAATTTATCAAAATACATAAGCAGCAGTCTTAGACTTCAGCTTTGGGGAGCTTTCTCATTTATATATTCATGTAACTAAAAGTAACTTACCTAATTAGTATCAAGTGGAATGAAATACCTTTTAAAAGAGTTGCTTACTTTTCTTTGATAGTATCCTCCATTTCTTTGAATTTCTTTGACAAATTATTTGTTTTTTCAAACACCAGAGCCTTATCCCCTGGTAAGCCATGGCTCGATATCTCCTTCAGAAGACTGTGCAAAGCTTCAAGATCTTTCTTGTGTTCTAAGAATTTAGTAGTCGATTCCTACAAAGCATTTACACTGGTCAATATAAATGTTGCTAGATCTTCAATTCACATTCCATCCAGAGGTATGTATAGAACCAGAACAGCTCTATTCAGAACTGCACAGAGCAGATCTACTTCAGGTGAGCCTGCCAAACTACTATAAACATGCAGCCAGGATGCTTGAAAGACAGCACAGTAAACTTTACATTTTAAAATGCACTCTATTTCTTTTTTTTTTAACAATTAAAAAAATTACTTATTATTTTTATTTTATGTGTATGCATGTATTGCCTGCATGTAGGTAAGTGCACCCATGTGGTACAATGTCCATGGAGGTCAGAAGAGGAAGAGAGAACTCCCTGGGACTGGTGTTACGGACAGTTGTTAACTGCCATGTGGGTGCTGGGATTCGAACCCAGGTCTTCTGCAAGAACAATCAGTGTTCCTAACTGTTGAGACGTCTCTCCAGCCCCCATGCACTCTGTATTTCTTGCTTTGCTGTGGTTTTGGCATGTAGGATGAGATTTATAACATCTATGATCTATGTGATAAATGGTTTCTATTCAATAGGCAAACACTTCAAGGGGAAGATAGGGCTTGAGATTATTTTGAAGGAGAAAGTAAGTATTTCTGAATCCATAATGGATTAAAATGATAACTAGTAAATATAATTCTGCCAATAAATACATGTGCTTATCTTAATTATGAGGCTACCTGCTTACACTATGATCCCCGAGGAAGCCATACCTGCACATGTTGAGACAGCTCTGTAACATCTTTTCCTGGCATATCTACCTCAGTGAGAGCCTGTGCTTGTGTCTCTAAAAACATCTGGAGCTTTTCAGAGAGGCTCTCAAACTGCTCTACTTTGGCTTTTAGCTCCACCATCTTGGCGAGCTTCTCTTTATGTTTATCACTCGCTTCAGAAAACCGAGCAGACAGGTCCTTCATTTTAGCTTGCAGCGAGGAAGCAGTGGATGGGTCTGTTGTCTCCATAAATGTCTTCACTTTTTCATTCATGGCATTGATGCTGCTCTGACGACCTGTAATATCCTGTTCCAACATCTGAAATAAAGCAATTATTGTATGTACTTTCGAATGATGTTTACAAATCATGTCACAGAGTCTGAAAAATTATTCTTCACAGCAACATATGCTTGAACAACCTGTGACTAAGAAGGTTAACAGTTGGAACTCAGTGACATGTTTGAGTTGTCCCTTAAGAAAGCCCATCCTGGGGGTGTGAACAGTAGGCTGGCCACTTGAAAAATGCAGGAGGCTGCTGCTGGGATCTAATGCAGTATGGGGATTAGCCATGGTCTTGGTTTTGAAAGACTTAGCAATAAGACTGATCTGCTGAACCCCACGTACAGCTGCCTGAGGCAATGATACACAACAGGAGGCTCAGTGCAGGCTTACACCCTCCAGACAGAATAATGAAAAGTATATGAAGCTCTTCCTGAGCTCCATCACTAAAACACCCTTTCCACAGTGGAGTTTGTGCAAGTCCTACTGTCCACACTCTTCTATTCAGAAGCATCTCTGTTGCGACATCTTTAAGTCTATCTGCTCTAGAAGATACAGAACTTTCAACTGCAAGTGGAATTCTTTTCTTTTAAAGATGTTACTCACAATGTTTCTGCTGATGAGATCCTCAAGGGCTGCAGAGTTTAAGGGCACCTGACCTTGTTCTCTGAGTGAGCTTTCCACAGTTCCCATCCAGGCCAGCATCTCATCCAAGCCGTCCTGCACACTCAGTGAGCGGGTCAGTGTCATCTGCAGCTTCTCATTCCGTTCACCCATAGACTTGGACAGATCATCATATCGCCCAACAATGTCATCTACTCCAAACAGAGGGGAATGTTAACAACAAAGTTCTGTTTGCCTTATTCTTTTTCAAGAGCACCCCATGATGGACAATAAAGTTTCCATACAAAAAAGGAAAATGAAAAAAAAAAAGAATTTAAATGATGAACTGATAACAAATAATCAGATCACCTAAAACTTAAGAGCCGGGCGTGGTGGCACACATCTGTGGTCCCGAGTACTCGGGAGGCAGAGGTAGGCAGAGCCCTGTGAGTTCAAGGCCAGCTTGATCTACTTAGTGAGTTCAGAACAGCTGGGGCTACAGGGAGGCCCTGTCTCAAAAAGGCCAAAAAAACAAAACACAACAAAACAAAACAGAAAAAAAAAAGACAGAAAGAAAGAAAGAAAAAAGGAAGGAAAGAGAAAGAAAGAAAGTCAAGTGAAAATAAAATAAAAAATAAATTAATATGCCTATCACTATACTTTGAGACACATAAACACCTGAACTGTTCCAGAGAGATGAAAGCACAGCCTGAACAGTGAGTGCTGATCTCAGGGCTGGAGAGATGGCTCAGCAGTTAGGAGCACTGGCTGCTCTTGCAGAGGACCCAGGTTTGAGTCCCAGCACCTACATGGCAGCTAACAACCATCTATAACTCCAGCTCAGGGGACCTGACACCCTTTTCTGACCTCTGTGGGCACTGCACAACATGGGTGCACCTACCTATATGTAGGCATTACACTCGTACACATAAAATAAAAATAAAAAAAAATGCTGGATTTCAATCTGACACAATACTTACTGATAACTATTTGGGAGAAAAAGTAACAACCATAAAAAACTACTCCCAAGAGACAATATTCTGTCATATACATGTTCATGCTAAGCCTTTGTCATCCTTCATAACCAAAGAAAATTCAAACACACGAAAATAGAAATATGTAAATGCACTAAGAAAACAGGGTTATCTGTGAAAATCCACTTACAGCTAAGATTATGAGTCTAAAATATAATCAAACAATTTAATAGCAGACAAAAAGGAAAAACAAATTCAACAGCCTTTTTAATATGATATAAACTTTACTTTCAATTCTAAGGATTTAAGATGGAAAAAAAAAAAAAAAAAAAAAAAAAAAAGCCCTTCCAGCCTCGTTTTCACTAGAATACAAAGCTCTACTTTTTTTTTAACATCTGACATTCTACATTGTAGACTAATGACAGGTCAAAGAACAATGGCTTTTAATTTCTGTCTCTCTCTGGAAAACAATTTTTAGTTAATTAATTAATTAATTAATTAATTGTCTTTTTTGAGACAGGGTCTCCCTGTAGCTCCAGCTGTCCTGGAACGCACTATATAGACCAGGCTGGCTTTGAACTCACAGAGATCTGCCTGCTTCTGCCTCCTGAGTGCTGGGATTAAAGGCGTGCGCCACCACGCCCAGCTTATTATTATTTTTTATGTGTCAGGCAATGCCTGCAGAGGACAGAAGAGACTGTTGGATCCCCTGGAACTGGAGTTATGGACAGTTGTTAGCTGCCATGTGGGTGCTGGGATTCAAATCCCAGTCTTCTGCAAGAACAGTCAGTGTTCTTAACCGCTGAGCCATCTCTCCAGCCCAAAACAATTTGTTTTTAATTACAATTTTTTTGTCATTTATTATACAAAGTCTCAAAAATCATTACAGTTATTTCTTAATGGTTTAATCTAACATACTATAGAGCAAGTCACTAGAAGGTCTAAGTCTGTAAATGAACTACATATAACAAAACAGTATTTCTTTTAAATTGTTGTAATGTCACATCATGAGAAAATAGCTTAACAAATCTTCACTGAATTGGGAGGTTAAACTGAGACAATCACACTCCTGTTGTTAGGATACAATGAAGCCCATGAGAGTGCTGAGTGGAGAGAGGGATAACATTTAGAGCACATTAAGACATTGCAAGCAGAGGAATCAAGTGTGAACTTCAAGTATAACCCTAATTAAAAGTCTCAAGAATAGTCACTGCAGTTTGCAATTGGCAGTTGAGCTGTTCATGAAGTGGGCCAGGCCTACACATCAGCAAAGATGAGTGGCATCAGTTACCTGTTTAGCCACATGACCTCCCAAGCCAAATCCATCTTCATATAGTTAATACACTGTGGGTGCTACTGTTTGTTACAGATTGAATGTCTGTGTCCCCTGATCCCCCACATGCATGTGCTTAAGTCTAACATGTAAATGGTGGTATCTGGAAGTAAGGCCTTTGAAAGCCCCCCACCGCCCTATATATTGTTTGATCACAGTTCCTTACATAAACTTCTAACCCCTTGTAATTTTCAGAGCAATAAAAAGTGAACAAATTATCTTTTGATATTTGGCCTGTCTCTGGTCCATAACATAGAGGTCCTAAGTACCTTTGGAACTCCAGGGTGATAGAACCACTTCTAATGAAGTGACTCTTGTCATGCTCCTGGATGGAATCGGGATGGTGCCAGTTGTCACAAGAATGATCATGTAACTAAGATATCTGGAACTTTCATTCTCACCCTCTGACCTATAGGGAGGCAGAAGGGCTAAAGGCCAAGTTAATACCAATGGCCAATGACATAACTGACCATGCCTACATGAGGAAGCCTTTGTAGAAATGTCAAAGGACTGGGTACATGAACCGTCTGAAGAGTGGAACACATGGAGGTTCCTGGAGGGTTGAGTGTCCACAGGCAGCACAGAAGCTCTGCATCCCTTCTTCTCATGCCTCACCCTGCCCATCTTTTCCACTGGCTGCTCATCTGTACCCTTTGTGATAACCTTCTAATAGTTAGGTGGATATAAGTAAAGTGTTTCCCTGAGTATTTCAGCTAATTAGGTGACTCAAAGGAGGTCATGGGAACCTCAATTTATTCTTAGTTCATAAGTACAGTTCACATTCTGAGAACTGTGATTGGCACCTGAAGTGTGGTATCTGGGTACAGAGTATCAGAACTGCAGTGAATTATAGGGCACCTTGTCCACTGGTATATGGGGAAATTGCTCCCATATCTGGTCACATATGAGTTCTGTGCTGTGTTGAGATCTATGAGCAGAAGAAACACTTAGGCATTTTCTATCAGTCAGCGGAGTTACTAGGCCATAGATCAACCCTTATGAATGTGATTCTTTCCCTTATAAGAAAGTCAGGACTGTTCTCGCTCTCTCTCTCACCATTCTCTACCAGGTAAGAAGGTGACCATCTGTGTCAGGAAGAAGGATTTTGCCAGAACATAACTATGCTGATCGTAGACTTCCAGCCTCACGAACTATGAGAAACTAATAGTTATCACTTAGGTCATCCAGTCTGGTATTTTTGTTATAGCAATATGAACTAAGATTCCATTTGCTCTATGACTAGTCAAAAATACTGTTACTGAAATGCTGGATTTCAGTGACTAAAATTTAGGAAAAGGTGCAAAACAAAATTTACCATATAAATACAAAGATTGTTATAGTAAGATTTTCAATATAAGATTTTAAAATGTTGGGTGTGGTAGTGCAAACCTGTAATCCCAGCACTTAGGAAGTAGAGGCTGGTGGATAGTAAGTTTAAGGCTATTCTGGGTAATACAGCGAGAACTTGTCTCAAATAATAAAATCAGCAAACAAACAAAAACATAAATTTTAAAAAGTGATTTGTTTTCTTAGAAGCCAAAAAGACCTCCGACACTCATCTCTGTCTTCTTAATACAGTTTCACATATTTCTGGGAAATGACTCCAGATAGAAATTTTTTTTTTGGTCTTTTTGAGACAGGGTCTCCCTGTAGCCCCAGCTGTCCTGGAACTCACCATGTAGACCAAGCTGGCCTCGAACTCACAGAGATCTGCCTACCAGATAGAAATTTTAAAGCCTTAATGTAACATATAGAATTTAAACAAGTACAAGAAAAATTATGAACATTTAACGCAAGAAAGCTAGGCATGGTGGCTCATGCCTGAAATCCAGCATTCAGGTTGCTAAGGCAGGAGTACTGCCTTGCATTCAAGACCAGCCTGGACTACGCAGTGAGTCTTAGGCCAGCCTGGGCTGTAGAGCAAGACCCTGTCTTATAAAGACAAACAAACATGACTCCCAAATTTAAAAAATAGGGAAAATATTGAAATGCCTCTTCAATAACATAAATATAATTAAGACAGTCTTTCTCTTCAAATCTCTGGGCCCAAGTCCCTACAGCAGTGGTCGTCAATGTGGGTTTATAAGATAAAGTATTGAAAGAAAAGAACAAAATGTTAGAGCTACCATTCATATGTTCTTCATGCATCTTACAACTCTATATTTGTGTTTTATATTATACACTATGTGATAATAGATGAAAATGCACATACAAGTTATAAATACACATGTATTGAAATTCTCTACTGATCAGGGCACATGAACAAAAAACTCTGTATGTCTATAAGAATGAAAAGATTTACTTTCTACAAAATGCCTTTTTTTCTCTTCATACAAAATTTCTACTCAGATTTTAATTCATGTTGTTTGGGGTAAACATGCTTACCACCATCTGTTGTGGGAATTTCTTATTTCACACATACATATATGTAAGAGCTCCCAGATTCAGCAGCACCATTTTACACAGAAAAAATCACACAGGCTGCAATCTACCTCTGTGAACATCTTCCTCATATCTATTAGAATACATTTATTTAAACTTTTCCCGAGAGGCAAGAAACAGAAGAATGTGCATCTTACCAAGCGTCTTCTGGATCTCATTCTTGGCTGGAAGCAAAGATCCTCTGGCATCTAAAAGCACCTCTGCTGTTTTTTTCAGCTTCTCTACAGCAACCTGCTGACTTGATATCTGCCCTTGCAGAGCCTGTGGGATTAAGTGCTTTTCAATTATACTCAGAAGGACTAATAGATTCACAAAAAGGAAAAACAAGATAAAATGGACAGAATGAACTATCTACCATAGACACCTTTATCATCACAAACGTATCCTGGAGTTCTGGAAATAAAGCAGCAATTAGCCAACCTGGATCGTGCGAAATCAGTCTTGAAATATACTACAGAGTAAATGTAACAGTCTTCCTATTAACTGACTTCATAACTGTTACTGTATATTCTCCCATAATTTCTACTTTGATGCCTTGTGCAACACCCCCAGTACCACTCTCAGACCCCAACAACAACTCAAGAAATAAAAACAAAAGAATCTGTGGACTATTTCTGATTCTATGTGCTTGACTTAATACTGAGTCACATTTATTTGTTTAATTTGATAAAAGTTACTGAACATCTAAAAAATTTTAAAACGTTGTTACAGTCTCTGAAAAATAAAATCAACATGATGCTTACAGGAAGTGATGCATTCCAGAGGTCAGAAAAAAGTGTCAGTAGAAGTTGAAAGAGTTGGGGGGCGGGGCACTGTACTGGAGATGCTGAAAGAGTGTAGGGGGGTGAGGACCATTGTACCGGTGATGCTGGAAGAGTGAGGTGGGGTGAAGACCATTGTACTGGTGATGCTGATGGGCCCTGAAGATAGTGCACAGTGGAGAAAATTTCCCCACAGAACAAATAGAAGGGACACAGATGAGGCAGAAAAGGTCACAGGAGACAGAAACGCCTCGTCTAGTTTGAGAATGTCTGTGTGTGATCAATAGAAATGGGGCTGAAATAACCTCAGTTGTTAGGCTAAGGGCTTGACATTTTGTCTAGTAGCAACAAAGAATTACTGAAGGCTTTGAATAAGGTGTTGAGTAAGGACAGGTCCTATAGGAAGGATAAACTCATATCAATACAGGAAAAATACAGTGGGAAAGAAATGAAGTGATAAATGGAAAGCCCAGCTGGGAGTAGCTTAAGCAGTAACAAAGCAGATTTCTTCAGGACTGAGGCCAGCTCCTCCACTCAGGCTCCCTCGACTAGTAAGGACAGTAAGTTATAGGGATGGGGAGTTCCAAGGACTTGTTCACAGTATCCAAGGCCAGGATGTCTAATACAGAGCTGCTTATTACAAGTAATTTTTAAACTGAAATCAAATAAAGTAAAAAATGTAATTCCTCCCACACACTATCCATCAGTCACTATGGCTATGCTGTTGGACAGAGCACATGCCAGAACACGCCCATCATCACAAAACGATCTATGAGCCAGCACCACAAAAGATGTCAGGAACAAAGGAAGACAAGAGGAAGAAATACACTTAGGGCTTTGGGGCTTAGGTAACTACTAGAATTTATATACTCAAGTGACAGTAAATTTGAGTACAGAAGACCTTGCTTTAAGGTTCATTTAAATGCTTTTAGAACATGATACAGAAAGAAATAACCAAGCTGGTAATGGAGGAGACTCCATACCCAAGTGAAACTACCCGTAAGAACTGTAAGTCAAGGGGGCTGGAGAGATTAACAGCACTAGCTGCTCTTGCAGAGGACCTGGATTCAGTTCCCAGCATCCTCATAGCAGTTAACAATCATCCATAACGCCAGTTGTAGGGGAGTCTGACACCCTCCTATGGCCTCTGCAAGCATTGCATGACATGGGTGCACTTACATAAATGCAAACAATACACTCCTACACATAGTACTACTACTACTACTAATAGAACTGTGAATCAAGATACAGAGGAAATTGCTGCAGATCAGAGCACAGCATCACAGAGAAGGCAAGTAGAAAAACTCATGCCAGATGTTTACATTTATGTGATGATGAGGGGAGAAATAACTAATGTGGTCAAGAAGGTGAAAACAGGCCCAGAGGAACTCCATACCCAAAGGTTAAAGAGGGAGAAACTGTAAAGTGTTAACTGTGCCAGCTGACTCACAGAGGAAATGTAAGCCAAGACTAACAAGTCCTTGGATTTTCAGCTTAGAGGTCTCTACAGATCACTAGGTGAGCACAGTTCCACACACCCTGGGAAGGAGAAAAGAGTCTGGGCCAAAGAAAAGTGCCCTAGAAGTTGGACCCTGCAATTTCTAACTCCCCAGATGGATTTCTGCCCAAGTAGGCTGCCTAGTCACAGGCCCCACAACTGGCTTTAACTTCACAGAAGTACCTGAACTTTATTTACAATGCAGCATTCAGATTCCAAAGACTTACACGCCTGGGAGTTGGTCCAGTGGATAAAATGCTCTCTGTAAGCATGAGAGCTGGAGTTTAGACCCCCAAAACCCACATAGAAGCTGGGTGGGTGTGGTGGCCCTCTCGTAATCTCAAGAGTTTGGGAGGCCAAAGCAAGGGATCCTCAGGGCAAGCTGGCTAGGTGGACTAGCTGAACTGATAAGCTCTGGGTTCATCCAGAGACTCTGCCTTAGTAAAGTGGAGAACAACTGAGAAAGACACAAAACATCAACCTTTGACCTCTAAATACACACACGTGTACTCCTACACATATGAGCATCATGCATCCTATTTAAACACATACCACATATACATACATATACATGCAAGATAAAAAGAAAAGCACACATCCAACTTCTGATAAATGTATCCCTGGCTATGGGCCCAGACTTCTAAAAGCTTGAATGTTTCATCTAAGCGGAGATAGTAATCTTAAATCTAGAACAGTGAAATCTAAACTCATCTCATTTCTTATACTTGCTTCTTCTTGGGCTTACATCTGATTTCCTAGGTCTTAAATATAAGGATCCCAATAGTTTTTATAATCTCTCAATCCTTTTCTACATGTAAAAGTCAACCAACAAGCCCTGTTTATTATTTTCCAGTTAATAATTTTATTTTAAATATTTTTATTATATGGTATGAGTGTCTGGTCAGCATGTATGTGTACCACATGTGTGCAATGCCCAGGGAGGCCAGAAGAGGGTGTCAGATTATCTGGAACTGGAGCGACTGATGGTTAGCCACCATGCGGGTACTAGGAACCAAATCCAGGTCCTCTGCAAGAGCTGTCAGTGCTGTTAACCTCTGAACCATATCTCCAGCCCCACTGTCTCTCATCATCTTCAGCCTGGCTCTTTTTTAGCCTCTAAACCCATCTGAGAAACCTTTGTAACACTCCAAAAGCTGTGTTCAGTACTCCCCCTAGGAGACCCTGTGAATATTATTCAACCATCTTTTTTTTTAAAAAATAAAATTATCCTTTTTGCCAACTAGGGTCCATCCTATTCAGCTATTTTTCATAGCTTGCTCAATGCTTAGGCAGATAGCTGGCCTTGATGAAAGTTTCTATGTAAACAGGCAATAAATGAAGGTATCAAGAGTAATACCGAAATGTGATGGCTAATCCTGGGTGTCAACTTGACTGGATCTGGGATTAACTGAAATGAGAGATATCTTCTTGACTGGATCATCTGAAGCTGGAAGACACACCCTAAATCTGGGTGCTACCTTCTGATGGCAGCCCCTATAAAAGTCCACGGCAGAGGAGAACGCCTGGCTTCTTGCTGCTTGCCTTCTCTCTTGCTGGTGAGTTCGTCTTGCTGCTGTAGACTGAAGACTAGCTGATCTCTTGGAATTCATCAGACCTTCAGCACCAGATTGGGACTACTGAGACATCTACCCTCGTGGACTGAGCGACTATGCATTCTCAGCCTCTCCAGTGTGGCACAGCCATTGTTGGACTACTCAGATTCTATCCTGTGACCTAAGCTGATAAATCTCTATACATTTATATATTCATTCTACCGGTTCCGTTTCCTTGGAGAACCCTGACTAATACAGATTGTGGTACCAGGAGTGGTTAGAGAGAAACAAAATTGAAAGGATGAATTTCTTTAATGGGCTTGTTGGCATTTGGAGCAGGCTCTCCAACTCAGTCTTCACGTAGCATGGAGAGCACTGAAAATCCGTGGTGTAGACTATTTGAAACAATTATGGAGATAGACGCATTTGAATTTCCTAATTCACCTCTTGTGAAGAGCAAGACATTTAGTGACTCTACAGATAAAACATTTGACAATTTGTGGAAAAATAGGAAAAATAAGAAAAATAATGATGCTTCTACCAGCTCTGGATAAAGTGATGAAGATAAACAATGAGCTTAATGATAAAATTGACAAGCTCCAGATTTAAATCAACAGTTTAAAAGTTTCCAAGTGTGCCCTGGAAGAGAATCTTCTCTCCAGCAGCCAGAGAGCTAAAGCTGCATAAAATCAAGCTGGAGCCCTTATTATACCTTTGGCTGACCTACAATGCAAATTTAATTCCCAGCCTCGAAGGGTGTCAGCCGTAAAGGTGAGGGCATTGGTAGGGAAAGACTGGAATCCTGACACTTGGGATGGAGATGTGTGGGAGAACCCTGAGGAATTTGATTCACCTGATGAACTAATCTCCCCACACTCAGCAGACCCACCCTGCCCGCCCTTGCCTGAGGCAACTAATCCCACTGAGGAAGCTAATCTCATTCAGCAAGACAAAGCTGATGTTCCTGAGGGCCCAGTTATTGTTGCCTTCTAGACCTATAACCAGACTCAAAGCTAAGCAGGTCCCTAGAGGAGAGATAGAAAGTGTGGTCCATGAGGAGGTGCGCTACACCACTAAAGAACTTAGTGAATTTGCAAATTCATTCAAGCAGAAGCCTAACAAATATGTCTGGGAATGAATGGATTTTAAGGGTATGGGATAATGGTGGAAGGAACATAAAACTGGATCAGGCTGAGTTTATTGACATGGGCTTCCTGACCAGAGATTCTAGGTTTAATATGTAAGCTGGTGCAGTTAAAAAGGGTGTTAAAAGTTTATTTGCTTGGTTGGCTGAGGTATTTATCAAAAGATGGCCTTACTGACAGTGAGCTGGAGATACCTGATATCCCTTGGCTTAGTGTTGATGAAGGGATTGTAAAGCTCAGGCAAACTGGTATGCTCAAGTGGATTCGCAGTGCAATGCCAAATCCTCCACAATGGGAGGGCCCA